CATGCTGGCATCCCATATCATAAAGCCTGTTTGAATCACCAGGTGCTCTACTTCCATTCAAGCCCCCTGCTAATGTACCTGTAAAGGTAACAGAGGACGATCCAAGTACCTGGGTGCTTACCACTGATGTGGGAGACTGGGTGGAGTTCTAGGCTTCTGGCTTTGGTTTGGTTCAGCTCTAGCCATTGTGGCCATTTGGAGAGATGCTGCCTTTCAAATAAGTAAAATAAATCTTTCTTAAAAAATCAACATGTATTCTTGGCAAATGTTATCTTAGATACTGTCTACATTATGGTGGATGGTAAATAGAAAATAAGATACAGTTTTGAATTTCAATGAACTTAAATAGTAATGATGGAGAAAACAAAAACAAATTATAACAAAAGTTAAAATAAGGATGCTTAAAAGTATGTTGCTCTGAGATTTATAAAAAAATAAAATTGCGAGTAGTAAGTACAAAGCTTTTTAAGGCAGTGGAGCTACTCATATAAATACTTGTCTTATGAGGTCAGCGTTATTGCATAGTAGGTTGACTCCTCCTATGGCGTGATATCCCATGTGGGCTCCAGTTTGTGTCCCTGGTGCTTCTCTTCCAATCCAGCTCTCTGCTAATGGCCTGGGAAAGCAGCAGAAGATGGCCCAAGTGCTTGGGCTCCTGCTCCCACGTGGCAGACCTGGAGGAAGCTCCAGGCTCCTGGCTTCAGATCCACTCAGCTACAACCATTGTGCCATTTGGGAAGTGAACCAGTGGATGGAAGACTTCTCTCTGTCTCTCCCTCTTTGTCTTTAACTCCACCTCTCAAATAAATAAATAAATCTTTAAAAAAAAACTTGTAAATTTGACCAAACACATAGATTATATAAATAACATCAACAGTCAACCATTAATGTAAACTGTGGACTCTGTTGGATAATGCTGTGTCAACATAGGTTTATCAGTTTTAATAAAATGTTCCTCTGTGCTGGTGGATGTAGATATTGGAAGAAGCTATGTATATGTCAAGGTGGGGATTAGAGGAAATCTCTCTAAATCGGATACTGAATTGTACTTTGAAGCTAAAACTGCTCTATTAGATAGTTTATTAAAACAGAAAAAAATCACAAAAATGAAGAAATTCATTGCTGGAATGTATTTGAAGTATAATTATAATACTAATAAGTAGAGAAATAGGTGGAATGGAAAAATAATAATATCTCTTGTATGTGTACCTGGATATGCATGATGGAAAAACACGAGCAAATATTGTGTTGCCTGAGACATAAGATGGTGGTTATAAATTGTTGGAAGAAGGGGCTGGAAGAGAAAAGCAGGCCATATCATGGAATATCTTCAAAATCAGACCAAGTTGTTGTTACTTAAGTGAGAGTCATCTGTTGGTTTGGGTCTGGTGGGTAGAATTGATCAGAAAGAATAGAAAAGAAGCTCATGAGGACCTCTAACATGTACCGCTGACTGATCCAGCGTGATGATAATGAGAATGGAAATATGTGCTGCATAGGAAAGACAGTTTGGTACTAAAATGTGTAAGATATAGACATTTAAGAGCTAAGAGAAAAGCAGAGCCGAGGTATTCAAGAGGAACGTTCAGGACAGAATCAGGAAGAGAAATATATTGGCAATTGAGTAGGAGATTCATTCTCAGGGCTGGCGTCATGGTGTAAAGGATATAACTACCACCTGTGACACTGACATGCCCTATGGGTGCCACTTCATGTTCTGGCTGCTCCGTTTTTAATGCAGCTCCCTGTTAGTGGCCTGGAAAGTCAGCAGAGGATGGACCAAGTGTTTGTCTCTCTGCTATCCATGTCAGACCTGGACGAAACTCCTGGCTTTAACTTGGCCCAGGCCTGGCTATTGTGGCTATCTGAGGGGTGAACCAGCAGATGGAAGATCTGTCTCACTCTCTGTCCTTCGTTTTATCTGTGACTCTACCTTTCAAATAAATAAATAAATAAATGAATCTTGAGAGAGAGTCTTCATTTTGATGAGGTTAATCTTCCAGAATATATCTATTACCTAAAACACAGGAGTTATATTACACCTATAGAAGGGGTGATAACTGAGTTTTCTTAAGCTGCCTAAGAAAGGAGTTCGTGTTCACACAAGTGTTATATTAGACAAGTCACAAACAGATCTATGTTTATGTCTGTAAAATAGAGTAAATGATACTTTATAAGGAAATTAGAAAGATTGATGGAACTTCCTATTGATGTGGAGATAATGACTTCAGACCATATTAGGTACTGCCAATAAAAGGCTATGGTGTGATAAACATTATTGCTATAATAAAGAATGGATGGGCTGGCGCCGCGGCTCAATGGGCTAATCCTCCGCCTGCGGTGCTGGCACACGGGGGTCTAGTCCTGGTCGGGGTGCTGGATTCTGTCCCGGTTGCTCCTTTTCCAGTCCAGCTCTCTGCTGTGGTCTGGGAGTGCAGTGGAGGATGGCCCAGGTCCTTGGGCCCTGCACTCACGTGGGAGACCAGGAGAAGCTCCTGGCTCCTGGTTTCAGATCAGAGCGGTACGCTGGCTGCAGCGTGACGGCCGCAGTGGCCACTGGGGGGTGAACCAACGGAAAAAGGAAGACTTTTCTCTCTGTCTCTCTCTCTCACTGTCCACTCTGCCAGGCGGAAAAAATAAAAAACAAAAGAATAGAGAGAATGGATGGCATTTTTATCTGTAAGAGGTGCATAATATTAGTTTCTCTTAAAAATGCTTTTATCTTAATTACAAAAATACAAAGTTGTCTATAGAAATATTTTCCAGTGTCATTTGGGCTTCCCATGAGATTTTGTATCTTTTGGTAAGTAAGGCATTGTATGTCACTATTTATTATTAATGTAAATATTTGCATATATCAATTTATTGAAGCCTTGAAACACTCTGTATTGGGTTCCAAAAAATCTTTTTAATAATCTTTATTAAACAGCTGTTAAATTTTTTTGAATGAGGAAAGCTGTAGTGGGACTCATAAGAGGCACATTGATGAATACAATGCATGCTTAGGACCAAACAACCTTGGTGATTTATGGATAGGAGATTGGGTAGAGGTATGACCATGAGTTACATAAGATAACAGCAAGGCTTCTGGCTTGCAAATGACATATACAGTTGTTCTGTGCCCTGAGATAGGGAACATATGAGGAATAGATGTAGGAGCGGAGATTATGAGTTCAAATTTAGGCACTATGTGTGGGATGAGTGTGAGATATGCAGAGGGATAATTTTAATAAGCAGCTAATTATGAGGATCTGGAGCTTTAGAAGCCAAGAATGAACTTGAGATTAGAATCATCAGTTACAAATTGACTTTTAAAGATATGGATGAATGTAAGATATTTTCCAAAGGGCATGTGTAGAATACAGAATGAAAGGGCTGTGTATGACACCCAAGGACATAGCTGGCTTCAAGGAGAGGGCAGAGAAAGAAGCACACAGGACTCTAATAAGAGTGTTCAGAAATGAAATATCATCAGGATACATACGATTTCCTTTTTAGAGTTCAGTGATTTTTTTTCTTTCTGAAGTAGCTGTTAAAATATTTCATCTCCTCTGCCCTTAGTGTATTGAATGAAACATTTTGTGTGTCCATTTGATGAGGAGAAAAAATAGAAGACATGTTTTATTTAAATTGCTAGTTCATGGTATATGACTGATATGGGTATTTGTATTCTTGTTTACAAATATACAGGTAAGTTTTGACAGACATATGGATGATATTTTCAAAATGACCAACATTTGTCTTCTTTTACGTGGTCTTGGAGATGGAGACAAGGTGGGAGAGGGCGTATTTTTGTTCCTTCTTTTACTGCTACTTTTATCATAGAAGTCAATCATCATTAGGCATGATAATAACTTTGAATGTTTTATATATATATATATCTTATCAAAATATAGCTCAAATGATCTAAGCAGGAGAATTAACACAAAACAAAATATCTGGATTAACAGATATTTGAATCACAAAAATTTATATTAATTACAAGCAAAAGTGCCAGAAGATGATACCTATGCCTATGATACAGTAACTCGTAATTCTGGAATCTATTTCATGATTGAACAACTGTGCTAGTTGACTGCTTTTTTTCCTTTTTATAAATATATGTTGTAAGAACTATAAATAGTGTGTTAATCAGTTTACCTAAGTATAAATAGACTTTGAAAGAAGTCTGAAGAAAATAATAGTTATTTCTGATAAATTTAGTTAAGTTACACAAACTTAGAGAAAGTTTCTGATTTCCTTTCAGTTTTAATGAGTCATGATAAGGATTTTCAAAACACAGCAATCATATGTAGACTTGATATTAAATCAAATTTTAATTACATATTGGAAATATTTGTAATGTATTTAAAGTAGTTACGCAACAAAATGGTGATAATTTTTATTTTTAGGCAGATTCTAGTTTGAAGTATTGACTAGTTAGTATCTGTTCAATTGTGGTTAGTATTAGGCCAAAATTAGTTTTCTTATTTCAAACAACAGAAAAAAAAAAGATAAATCTTTTGAGTTACAGACTATTCTAGATTTAATGGTTAACTTAATCTGTAGATAAATTGGTAGTATCAAAACTCTTAAAATACTCTGTTTATTTACTATTTAAACTTGGATGATAAATACCTTTAAAGAGTCTTCCCAAAGGCAGATTTTTTTTTGCTTTTGTTTTTAAAGGTAGTGCTTCTAGACTTATATTTCTTCTTTGTATCAACTCTACATGAGGTTGCTTAATACCCCTTTAGTAGATAAATGAGGGTATGAGTGTTTTTGAGTTTCATTTCTGTGATGTATTGTATCAAGTAATTTTTTAGAATTTTCTAATCTTAATATCTTCTTAAGGACCATGTTAGTTATCAGATTTAGTTAGATCTAAGTGCATAACTAATGACACAACCATTTCTTAACTCTCATATATTTAACAGTGAATGAGTAATAGTTTTTTACTGGGGGGGGGGAATGGGCTGGTTATTTTCTACATCTTAAAATCTGATTTTTCTTTGTTGTAGGTTTTATTGGGATTTAATAATGCTTATAATGATGGTTGGAAATCTAGTCATCATACCAGTTGGAATCACATTCTTTACAGAACAGACAACAACACCATGGATTATTTTCAATGTGGCATCAGATACAGTTTTTCTATTGGACTTGATCATGAATTTTAGGACTGGGACTGTCAATGAAGACAGTTCTGAAATCATCCTGGACCCTAAAGTAATCAAGATGAATTATTTAAAAAGCTGGTTTGTGGTTGACTTCATCTCATCAATCCCAGTGGATTATATCTTTCTTATTGTAGAAAAAGGAATGGATTCAGAAGTTTACAAGACAGCCAGGGCACTTCGCATTGTGAGGTTTACAAAAATTCTCAGTCTCTTGCGTTTATTACGACTTTCAAGATTAATTAGATACATACATCAGTGGGAAGAGGTAAGACACATCTTTTCCTTTTTTTAATGCCAGTATATGATTGTTCATTATGACTGTTTTAAAGTGAACTATGCTGTGTGTGATGAGTTATATGAGATTTAAGAAGAAAAATTTCTTTGACTGCTGTTCCTTGTAAGTAAATGATACATTTGTATATTCAGAAGACTTGATCAATACTGGATTTGAATCAGCTGAAAAAAATCAGTAGTTATAAAACAATTGTTTTATGCCTATTTGGCACATTTTGAACAAATCACTTTAAAAAACACATTTTTAGATCCTAATCAATACAACCTCTCTTCCACCTTGGGATTTCTTTTCTTTTCTTTTTTTTTTTTTTCTTAACTAAGATGAATACATAAAATGCCATCATTGGCAAAAATGTGTAGGGTCTGATTGCTAATCTAGTGCACCATTATGAGTTAGTGTGGTAATGTTTCTTCTAAAATTGAAATTTCAGTGAATTTATGTTGGAATAAAACATGGTTTCTTTGAGTGTTTCTGTGTTGGGTATGTAAAGATTTGTATTTTATTTAGTATAGTCTTTGGCCCATTGCTATACCTTGCCTGTAGTAGTTAATTACTATACTTTCTATCAGTTCATTTCATAATAATTAAAAGCATCACATGCAGGAAGGGAATTATTACACAAATAGTCAAGTGAAGAGTGGGGTGAATCTGGCCAATCTAGCCCATATTTTGTTGAACAGGGCATCTGTAGTCCTTAGGCGGTAAGTGGATCTTGAAAGGGTTCAGCTAATTGGGATTTCAAAAGATCTTAATAAGGTGTACTATACTAACCTCTTAGACTTTCTTTTCTTTCTGTTTATCTTTTTGTATTAATTGTAACCTGTGTTTTATTGTCTTCATAAAAATGAGAGTCACATATACTCCAGAATGCCTATGCCAGCACTTATGAAAGCAATATACTGGCTATGGATTGTTGCTTTCTTCTCTGCAGATATGCTTTTTGGCATTTTTAAGATGAATTATGCTTTTAAATAAGTTAAAAAATGAAAATTGTTTTCCTCCTGTGAGACTTGAGCAGTGTTTTTGTGTGTGCTTGTCAGTTGCACTTGGTTCACAGCATTTCAGGCAGTGACATACAATAACAAAACACTGATGAAGAAGCATAAAAATGGATTCTTCTTAAAATATGGATGCAGAATATATTTAAAACCAAATGAAGTAGATTTGCAAAGCTGGATTCAATTTTTGCAAATCCCATCTAACAGAATAAATATTGGGATCTCAAAACTGTTTTTTTAACTAATTTTAGATTAATATCAAACCAACATGATTCTGGATAATAACAGATAGTGTTAGTGATAGCTTATTATTTGTAAAGTAAAAGATTTGATCCTTTATATGGATTTTCTCACTGAATGTTACTAACAACCCAATTAAACAAAATTGTTTCACATTTTGCATATGAAGACAATTAAATACATTAAGGTACCTGGCTCTGATTCCCACAGTTCTTAAGAGATAATCTGTGATTCCACCTATTGTGAGATGGCTCTAGAGCCCATGTTGTTAACTATAAAACTCTATAGGTTTTCTCTATAACATGTTGTCTTTTTACTATAAGTATCTTTATACTCTGCCATTTTATAGGTTATGCAAGAAATTGTAGAAAACTCTCTTATCTCAGACTGTGGTCCATGTAAAAAGAATCAAAGTTAACTCTTAAAATAAGGCCACAAAAATACTTTAAATAGCCTGCAAGAGAAAAGTCACTGATATAAATACCAGTCAATTAAAAATACAGTAGGCAATGTGACTATTTTTAATGTCTTGTAGTTTTAACCCAGTTCCCCTAGAGAATGGCAGCAGGATGAACAGATGGCATCCTATCAGATAAAATGGCAGGGCATGCAGTCCTAGAAGAGGACACTCTTTTAACACTAATGTCCTTTGGTTCCTGGCAGTGGTCATGGACACCTAGATCTGTGCAAAATGATGGTGTTTTGCAGATGCTATAATATAATTCAGGAGAATCAACTCACTGGTATCCTTAATGTAAAATGTAATTTAATATGCACTCACAGACATTTGGTATCCATGCACATTCAGGAGAGAGTTGTGAGTTGGCAAGATATTTGTCATAAATAAAAGATCTTGGGTATAAATGAACCACAAGCTCATTTAGGTGAGAAATGGTTTCTTGATTATATGATACACATATATAATATCATGTAACATGGATATTTAATGTATATTGATGATACTGTTAAACAGGGAAGAAATAAAAGCATATTCCAGAAATAATACAAATTCATTATTCCATGTACATGATTCAAACCATAATCACAAAGAAACTTGAATGATTCCCAAACTGGCAAATCTTCCTGACTTTTATAAATGCCACTAGGATGTGTTTACAAGTAGAAATACAACAAATAAATCAGAAGTAGCTCAGTGAGCTTTTGGAATAAAACTGCAAAGGAAGATGTGAGTTCACCCACATGTCTTTGAGTTCTGAGTGTTTTAGTACCAAGCTGGCTAGTGCTAAATTCAGCAAATTTGGGGAAGTAATGTGTGAAGTCTGGAAGCTGCCAGTGTTCTAAATGAATCATTCCCAAGGAAAGTGGCTGCCTTCTACAGGAAACTGCTTCCATCTTCATCCATCCTCAACAATAGATTTTTGGTGGAGGAGGGGGAGGGAGTGGTATGAATTAGTTCAACTGAAAAATAAAAAGTCCTGAAGCCAGATAAATTGGGAAAATACTATTAATGAAATACAGAAAATTTAAAATTTAGCCTTTGTATCATTTCTAAAGGTAAGTATAATTGCAAATACAAGAGGAAGCAACTGATTTGAACAACACTATCTAAATTATTTTTGTTAAGAAGATAGGAGAGAGGTTGTTTTCATGAGCCTACTATAAGATCAATGCAAAAGCAGAGTTATCTCACACTGCACTAAAATTTTATATATATATGTATGTGTATATATATAGATACACATACATATATATATATATAACCAGGTAAGATGAAAGTCAGCAACAGTTTGGATAAATAAGATCAGAATAATGTTTTCCAGTAATTTTCAGAAAATTGAGGTGGATCTTTCGCACTATTGTATTTTGGTGAAAAAAATTCGCTTAATTTAATGTTGTTGTTGTATATCAAGTAGCTGGTGATCTAAGCCAGACTGCTATTTTGTAACCTATCACAAGGAAACCAATTCTGTATGATCCTCCTAAAAGAGACATATGGTGAGGAAATCACCGGAAATTAAATGGAATATTATTAACAATTTGTGAGAATCACAAGCCACTGAAGAGATTAAGAGTAGATTAAAGAGCTTAGTAAATGGGAGATTATTTGGTTTGTAAGAGTGAAGAATTCTAGGAACCTCAGATGCCACAGCTGCTGATCTAAATCATTTTATCAAAGGGAGATGACCCTTGAAACTTTTGGGATTTAGGAAATGTTAATTAAAAAAAACACTCTGTTATGATTATTTGTAGGTTTCAGTGCCATAAATAAAGTATAAATTCTTCATGGATAAGGTTAGAAAATTGCAGGAAATCATATTTAATAACTATAACTTTGCAGTACATAAACATTATTTCTCATTTTCTGTATCTCTGACTTCCCTTGTGTAGATTTTAGACAGACAACAATTAACTAAATACAGGAAAGAGGGCTTGTGGCTTGATCTTCTTGTGTCTGTAGCAATTTTAGATGAAAAATGTGTGTGGAATCTACAATGCTCTTCTAGCAATTAATATTTGAGTTTTGTATTGACTGAGGGATAGATACGTGTACCCAAATTATGTTTAACAACAAAGCTTTAATAAGGAAATGTTTTCCATGGGGGACTGCTGCAGAGTTCAGTTTCTCTCTTTGGTTAATTATAACATTCTAATTGGTTTACAGTAGAGGCTAATTCATGCTATGAATTATCTATAATTATCAATACATATTCTAACCACTTTCCTTTTTAGGAAAGCACATAGAATTCTAAGACTTGCCATAGGCGACATCAGTGTTTTTCTAAGTCTGACCTGTGTTAGAACTTAGAGTGGCTTCCTAGTGCCTATCACATCAAATCTATGTTTCTTTTCTGTGCCTTCAAGGCTCTCCAGCACACTCTTCCCCGGTTTCACAATTGTCACTTCATATTTGCATCCAACAGTTCATTTCTGTTTTTTAATTTTATGTTGCTTCTTGCAGAGAATTATTCTTTATGCTTCTATAATTTGGCCTGTGCTGTACCTCAGATTTGGAAACTCATTTTTTTCTATCATTCCTTTAAAAATCAGACTCAAACTTATCTCCACGAAATATGCTACATTGGTTGACTTTGCTATAATAGTAAAAAATCTGTATACTGAAAAATTTTGTCTACTTGGCATACATTTGTTTATGATGCTTAGTAGCATGCATTTTCCTTTCATTTTACTGGGTATAAATATCTCTAGGAAAGAATTAATGTCAAATTTTGGTATTGAATTTCCTTGTATCCTAATATAGGCTTATAAATGAGGTATATAATCAGAGCATGCCTATCTACTAACTAAACGACAGTCCTGGCAGTTCTCTGTATTCAAAATCCGTCAGCTGGGGTTTGCACTATGGCGTAGCAGGTAAAGCTGCTGCCTGCAGAGACGGCATCCCATGTGGGTGCCAGTTCTGGGTGCTACACTTCCGGTACAGCTCGCTACTAATGAGGCTGGGAAATTTGTGGAGGATGGCTCAAGTCCCTGGGCCCCTGTGCTCACATGGGAGACCCAGAAGCAGCTCCTGGCTCCTTGCTTCTAATCAGCTCAGCTCTGTCGCAGCCCTTTGGGTAGTGAACCTATGGATGGAAGATTGGTAGATCTGTCTCTCTCTCTTTCTCTCTCTCTCTCTGCTCTCTTTGTCTCTGCCTTTCCATAACTCTACCTTTCAAATAAACAAATAAATATTTTAAAAATCCATTCACTAATTATTAGGGAATATTTATTCTTCACTCTCAAACACTCACTGAGTAGTCTCTGTGCAGA